CGGGATTTGAGTGTTGACTTCAAACATTTTTTCTGCCGATTGATTTTTCTGGCTATCGATGAGAGGTATTCTACAGCTGGGCCTGCTCTCCCTAGATCAGGGTGTCTACAGGTCCGGAAAACCCGGAGATTACTCTTTTTTTTAGGGTGGCTCCAGTGGCGTGGCGTGTTTTGCGATATATCGATTGTTATGCCATTTAAACCTATGGAAAATGATCGATGAACAGGGTGTTCGCTGCGAACACCTTAATAATCAATTCTTTACCATACGTTTAAATTGCAAAACAATCGATACATCGCAATTCACGCCACGCCATACTGCGTGGCTCAGAAGCAATCGTAATGCGTGTTTTTTAAAGACAGCCTGGAAAGTATGCAATCTCTTGCGCACTAATTCTTTGTCTTGCATCAACGCACGTTTTGCTTTCCTTCTCAATCGTTAAAGTCTCCTAGTAATTCTGTCGCGCTAAGGAAGAACGCCGTATGAGCATTCGAAACTTGCCAAATTTCCTTCAGTAAAATGTTCATTTTTGAGAAAAGTTATGAACATTTTTTCTTGAAATTTTCAGGAGCTTTAGGTGAAATTGCTAACAACATAATCTGAAAAATTGGGAGAAAAATATTCATACATTTACTAGGATATTCGTGTTTTATCAAAGGAAATATGGGATCGCCTGAAGGTTCATACGCGTTTTTCCATAGCACGCATCGCATCGCTAGCAGTATAGGATCTATGGTTTGTAACCATTGTGTTACACTGCACCGTTCCGAGTCTATCACAAGGGGACTTTAACGCAGGAGTATGAAAATCAGAAAAGCAGGAAACTTTAGGTGACATTGCAAACAACATAATCTGAAAAATTGGGAGAAAAATGTATAAGTTTACCGGAAATTCGTGTTTTATGAATGAAAATTTGGCAACGCCCGAAGGTTCATACGGTGTTTATCCTTTGCACGGTAGAATTTGCCATGGAAGATTCGGATGAACACCGGCTAAAAGTAGGCGAATTTTCATCAAGTTCGACACAATTTCATTTCTGTCGATCGTATTAAAAAATTTCCATCGGAAGTTCCAATCTTATTATACTTTTAATTTTAAATCATCATAATTTGTTCAGCTTGAACTAAAACTCAACTTAAAACAGTGCCCAAAAGTAGGGCAAAAATTCCAAATCTGTGGTGAGCGCCATCAGGCATTCCTAGGATCGGGCAACCGATCTTCTCGTTTATCAAGAATCTAGTGGTTGAATTGAAATTATTTTTTTTTTCTTTATTCAAAATATAGAGAACTACAGAGTATTAACTCTATTTGCCATAACTAACAATTAAAATAAGATCAAAATTTAGTCCGGATCTTTCGATAAGAATTCCTCGCAGGAGTCTGAACTTTGATAAATATTTTGTATTTAAGTAGAAACTACCGAGAGAACTGAGCACGAGGATACTTTTGGTTCATATATTGATTACCTAATTACTGAGATACGAAAAAATGATTTAATCCGCTGAATTACATGTGTTGAAATAGGAAATCAAGTTCATCGAATATTGTATAACACAATGTCTAAAAGGTAGTAGCACTGAGTATATTAGCATGTAGGGTGTAGCCAAGTGCTAGAGGTAATATTACAATTTTATAAAAAAAACACTTACATAAACTTTGACCGAGGTTTTTCGAAGGGCGAGCGCTTCATCGTCAGGGTCACAAAGTATATGTCTCAGGCAAATAGTAAAATCAGGCATTTTGTCAAATGCCTAGGCAAATAATTAAATAAATTAACTTATAGATTGAAAGAAGGGGTATCGTCAAGGGCCTTTTTTGGGCCCACCCTGAAATTCCTCAACTCCACGATTTTTTGGTCATTGAAGGTCTATATTTTACGGAATGCATAATGGTTTGGTCATTTTCGATCTATATCGGGGTCTACCACTGGCATGATCCGAAAAAAATGGCGCAAAACCACCTAAACGCGAATTGTTCTCGATTTTCCCGAATAACATGTGGCAACGCTGAGCCACAGCGGGAGATAAATACATAAATAGATAAAACATGCATAAAATCCCTACTAAAGTGGCCACTGCGTGTGAAAAATAAAGGTTTCTGAACTTGCGGAATGTTCTTGACGAGGAGCAGCCTCCGAATTCTAAAATACTAGGTTTTCCGTGAATTCAGGTAATGAAATATGGCAACACCGGCTTTTAGGGGGGGGGGGCTTTGAATCGAAAAAAGTTTTTTGAGGAAGGTTTTGACCACCCACGTCCATCTATTGTCAAAAAAATTAAACTCTGGCGTAAGATGAATCGCTTTTTTAAGCCATATTTTAAATAACGATGAAAAACAAGAAAATTCTAAAAAGTTTTTTTTAACAATGAGCGCAAAGTTTGACATCAACAAAAATTGGCCAAAGTGACTCTTTTACATCCCTAATGAACATACTTGAAGGACTTCTTTGTCCTCCGAAGGGATCGGTATGAAACAGCGCTTTGAATGCCGAAAAACCCGCATTTTTCGCCAAAATTGGCCTTCAGACCCATGTTTAGGCCAGTGATAGACCCCGAAATAGATCGAAAATGACCAAACCATTATGAATTCCGTAAAATATAGATCTTCAATGACCAAAAAATCGCGGAGTTGAGGAATTTCAGGGTGGGCCCAAAAAAGGCCCTTAACGATACCCCTCCTTTGTGGAAAGTTATGAATATTTTTCTTTGAAAATTTCAGGGGCTTTAGGTAAAATTGCGAACAAAATTATCTGAAAATTTGAAGAAACTTGTGTTTTATTACAGAAAAATTGGTAATGCCTGAAGATTCATACGGCGTTTTTCCTTAGCATAGCAGTGCTGTTCGGACCAGTTAGACGTATTAATGCTACTTTAAGCTAAGTTGTGCGCAAACCCTACTGACACAGTTCCTGTCAGTATAAATGCGTCCATTCAAGGCTGATAAGTACGAAATAAACGGTTGTGCGTGAGGAATATTTCAAATATCACGCAAAATGCTAAAAATTTCTCAAAACTTTCTACCTGTGATTACGTCAACGCTACTCAATACTGTGCGTGAGCTTTCGCTTCAATTGCCGGCAGTGACGCAGACTGGCTTATTTTTCGCGCTCTCAAGGAACAACCGTACATGACCTAAACTTTGCTGGTTTTTTCTGCTCTTTCAAATGGATTTTGAACGTACAAAAAGTTGATACAAGCGAAAGTGCTTGTCAAAGGGTTTGACGCATCAGTTTGAGTATGCTTTGCAACGTCTACCGGAGATCGACTCTGCTCTACTGCCGTGCTAAGTAAAAAACGCCGTATGAACATTCGAGAGTTGCCGAATTTCCCTTGATAAAACATGTATTTTTGACAACATTCATGCATAGGTATTTTTTCTTGCAATTTTCAGATATTTTAGATGAAATTGCGTACAAAATTGTCTGAAAATTTTTGAAAATAAAATTCGCAATTTTCCCAGTAGAGTCGGTTTTTATCGGAGGAAACTTGGCAACGTATTCAAGCTCATACGGCGTTCTTCCCAAGCACGGCAGTCTCCTTGTCAAGTCATCATTTTTTCCATCGAGCACGTGGATTTTTTTTTTTTTTTGCAAAAAGGAAGCACAAGCATTCCAATGTCGCCAGGATTTTGAAATTCTTTTTCGTTGCAAATATATAAATTGGATTGCATTTAGCAAAAAGGCGTGACTCTGGTGCTTCCAAAATCGTGCAACGTCTCCTCTTCTTTTAAAACTACTTAATATATGTACAGTATTAAAATGTACACAATCATTTTGCCTCAAAATTAACAATCTTTGGGTGGGAAGTTAGAGCTATTTACTATTCTGTAGGGTTTTATAGATAATTAATATAAAGCAACATTTTTACAACACTGTAAACACGTTGGTTCCTTTTTGCTAAATTCGATCCAATTGATCATTTAAACAAATATCTGTACTCTGAATACGCTGTAAATTTAATGCGAGAATTACCTTTGTAAACTTAATTAATTGCAAGGTTTGAATAATTTTATTGCAAGATATGTAAGTTGCACAATCCTAGAAACATTTGAAAAATTTCCTCTTCCCTAAATGCAATCTATATATTAACTGTGATTTAAATTGCCTCTTTTTTAAGGGAATAATACCGGAATGTCGATTAGTGTAGGTGTAGCCATAACCATGTAACGGGGGGAGGGGGCAGTCGATCTCGAATAATGTTGGATCTTTGATCATTCATAGGATACATTTTGAGGCTTCTTTTTCGCGAAAAGCTCGTCTAAAATGGGGATTATTGTGTACCTTTCCTCGGGAACTTAGGAATTTCCTCAAACGTCGCCAAAACGGAACCTTAAGATGTGACAATCCTCTAGATCAGACCTCTAGTGAAAGTTTTGGATTGAGTCCCGAACTCGTTTTGGCAACATATCATAGATTTCATTTTTTACATGGACAGTAAAGTTTCTTGGTTGGACAAACAACTGCAATCGAGTCTTTTTTATTTGCTGTGACACGGTCACTCCAATTAATGATATTGTGCCTCGGAAAATAAAACGGGATCAAATACCTACGTTGTTTTTTCAACACAGGAACTTCAAAATATCAGCATTTCCCAATGGTAAAATATATAAAATTTGCAACGTTGTATTGTCAAAACGAGCTTGAAACTCAAGCTAAACTTTTCACTAGAGGATTGTAAAATCACGAGGTTCCGTTTGGTCCACCCTTGAAAAAAATCCTTGAATTCTTCCAAAAAGCACTGTTTTGATCGGTTTTTTAGCCGAATGGGACGTTCAGTTCGACTTGATCAATTCTTCGAAGTACACCGGGACTTTATTTCAGTTTCCTTCTCCGTATTAATGCCCAGATAGTGAATGCACCAATTTTGAACCTACGCTCTTTCGATTGCCTGAATCGCGGAGGTAAGGAGATGGGGAAGGGGGGGGTGCAGATGATACTATTTCAAATTCTACAAGAGGTCAAGCTCAGGCTCATCCGGTCCTCTTGAAGGCTACGTCCATGTCGATTGACCTGTGGAACTTTTGGAATGTACCCAAAAGAAAGTCTTGAGTTTAACTTTTTCTTTTTCTTTTTCTTCTTGAGTTTAACAGAAGATTCGCTTCCTACAGTTGATATCACAGTGCGGGTTTTCGCTTTCAAGAGTTTCATTTTCACTTGCTGCCTATGTGATACGTACAGGTACATCCGACGAGGAAATAGATTTTTGCGGAGACGGTTGCCTAGAAATTGATCGTTGAGGAGATGGTTGCCTAGAGTTTGATCTTTGAGGAGACAGATGACCGTTGTCTGGTTTGACTCCATACCCAAGTAATTTTCGCCACAGTGTTCTGCCGTCTGTTGTGTGGAACGGAACCTCCTGAAAACAAATTAGGACTACATTTAAAAAACGTTCCACATTATTTAAAGAAAAACTAACCAACGAGAATTTTCTTCATCGCTAATATTTCGCGTTGATAATTGGTCAGTTGCGCTGGTCACAGAACCCTGTTTTGATGTTTGATTCTTGTTGATCAGCTAGTTATAATAAAAGCTGTCAAAACAGCAACTTTCTACGTTCAAGATTGGCCGAGATATCGCGCTTTGAAAAATTCATCTAACGACTTTTTTTTTTTTTTTTTT